TAATTATTATTATTATTATTATTATTATTATTATTATTATTATTATCTTCATCATATCCATTCCCAAAAATATTTATGAAGAGCTATAAATGCTTTAAACACACACACACACACCCCATGTCATACAAAGTGCTAGAACTGAATGGCAAGTCTCTTGCATTTTTTAATTATGAATACTGTTGAGATGACACTTAGCAATATTCTTTAGTTGAAATAGTCAGTGCGGGAAGATTAATTATATGTTTCTGGTTGAGAGTGATAGCTATTAAGTTATATGAAACATCTTCATGGACTCTCTGTGTGTGTATGCTTGTAAAGCATAAATAAGTTTTATGCAGAGCTTGGAAATAGATGTTTGCTAAAACTCTATGCAGTTTCACTGCACTTGAACTGCATTGTTTTTAACAGAATACTAAAGTGGTGTTATGAATATGCAATATTTCTGAAAGCTACTGGCATAGGGAATTGAAAACAAATTTGTTGAATCCCATTAGCTAACCAGACAGGTATTAAAGAATTTGTAGTCAATAGTAACTTTGCTGCTGCTTTTAATGGAGCCAGTCTTTCATTCCAACATGATATTATCACAATTAAATTTTCAGTAAATTGCAGATTGGTTCACATTTATACATGGGCCATTAATCCATGATCCTATATTGTGTGAAGAAACCTCCATCTTTCTCCATTTAGACACAGAATTCACTCAATCTCATATGGGAGAGAATTGCCATGTCTCTTATTAAACCACCTACACTCAACATCACCACCTATTCATGAAAAGGTATATATGTCCCTGTAACACAGAGAATCGATTCACTCATTACTCTCTAGTTACTTTTGCAAGTCTGATTCTCATTAGACTTAATGAACTTTTTTTGCAGACTCCAACACAAATCAGGAAATAATAAACTCCTAAAGATTGTAATCCTCAACGCTTATGCTCCTGAAAACAGTTTTTTATCTAGCCAATTCTTCACTTTGAAAAGTGAATAAGCCAGTTCTCATCTCTCCCAGATTTACAGGGCTCATAATTTTTTAGCAACAGTGAACCCCCCGCAAAGACCCCTGTTTTCCTCAGATACTTAAATCTTCTGTTCTTTTGATTCTACTATAACACCAGGAGAAACATGTGCTTACACCAGGCAGCTGCAGCTGGCTAGAAACCCCTTCAGAAATAAGCTGTGGAAAAATTATATAAACATCATCAAATATTTATCTCTCAGGAAAATATCAAGTGGAGTTTTATTGCATGACATGCACTGTATATATATTACATGAAAGTTATGATTAGCATTTCTTTTGCATAAATTCAACCTGCAGCTATTCTTATAGCACTGGTGAAAATTAGTTACTACATTCTGGTAATTTATTTATGTTTGGGTTTTTGTTTTTTTGTTTTTTGCCAGTGATATACAATAAACTAATCTGATAACGGAAGGCAGATGTTTCACTCAACTGGAGGGAGAACTGTCCATTAGAGCTCTGATGTCAACATAGTGTCCTTCCCTTTCTGACTCTACATAGCCCAGATGGAGAAAAAAACCAGGGAATTGTGAATGGACTACTTATAAACCCTCAGTAACAGCCTGCTGCTTCTACTTCCTCACACAGAATATAGTTAAACTATGGAACTCACTCCCACAGGATGAGCCAGTAATAGCCACCAACATGGATGGTTTCAAAAGAAAATTAAACAAATTAATGGAGGACAAACAGCTATCAATGGCAGCTGCAATGGCTATGTTCTGCCTCCACTGTATTTCTTTGAATGCCAGTTAATGGGACTTGCAGGTGGGCAGAATGCTGTTGTCCTCATGTCCTACTTGCAGGCATCCGGCAGGCTGTTTTCAGAAAGGGATGCTGGACTAGATGGGCCACAGCCTGATCCAGCAAGCTCTTCTTACATTCATATATTCCTTCAAGTTGCTGGGGGAAAGTGCTTGAGAGCTGTATATGTGGACTCTGGAATGTACAGCATCTTCTGGGGATCTGCTAACATAGACATAAGCCTTTGGCAAGAACAGCATGGCAAAAAATTCCAAGAAGGCCCATGCTGGCTTTTAGCTCTCCAGATACTTATCTTCCACCTATACTATGAAAACATATCCCAGTATTTTCAGAGATGCTTTCTGTGTTGTGCTGAAATGTATTGATGCAGATCAGAAGAGCTACTTTTTCTATTGTGGATGATATTCTATTCTTTGGACAGCAGCCTACAAATCAGAATTGTATTTTGCCACACCAACAGAAGGAAAGACAACTTCTTAAAAGCACATAATTTGGGAGTAAAAGTTTCACAGATATAAAGCACGTAAGCTCAAATATAATCAAGTCATTACACACAAAATCCCAAAGAAAAATATAATACATTGAATCCAAGAAATTAATAAGCATGACTAGATGTGGTCCATTCATTTCACCAGGTCTACTGTGAGTAGATCTTAGCTGGATACAATCCAATGACATTAACACCTGTTCTAATTCCTATTTCTTGAACATATTTCCGTTATGAATAAAACTCTCTTTACTAATGCAGGTGTGGCTCCAAGACAAGAGACACAGCCTCCCATGAGGGCCAACCTGGGCATTAGGACTAGATGCCTCATTAGCCAATCCACCACCCTTGGGGCTTCATGGTGTACTAGAATGCAGAAAGGCTCCCCAGCTCTCAAACTCCTTTACATGTGCAGTGGGTGCCAGTTCTGCGATGTTTACAAGCATAGCTTTACCCAAGCTTTGGGGAATTCTGATTGACTGTCTACCACTCTGTCTGGTAATTTTATTTGATTGATTTGATGCTATTATTATTATTATTATTATGAATTAATGTACTGTTCTTTCCTATTCTGCAACCTGCCCTGGGACCATATGTGGTCTAAACCACTGAGCCTCTTGGGCTTGCAGATCGGCAGGTTGGCGGTTTGAATCCCCACGATGGGGTGAGCTCCCGTTGCTCGGTCCCTGCTCCTGCCAACCTAGCAAGTAGATAAATAGGTACTGCTCCAGCGGGAAGGTAAACAGTGTTTCCATGCGCTGCTCTGGTTTCAGTGTTCTGCTACGCCAGAAGTGGTTTAGTCATGCTGGCCACATGACCTGGAAAAACTGTCTGCAGATAAACGCCGGTTCCCTTGGCCAGTAAAGCGAGATGAGCTTTACTTCTGCAATTGGACTTAACTCTTCTGTGATTGGACTTAACTGTCAGGGGTCCTTTACCTTTTTTATGTGTAATAAATGTAATTATTATAAATAATATATAAAATAGCTTGGGGTATGGATAAGGTATGGAAGCAGCACATTTTTTTTTTAAAAAAAGGAGCAACTAAATAACATGACAAAACACCAGTGTGGAATGAAGTAGAATGGCCTTTAACTCTCTGTGGCCTTTTAAAAGAGGGTGGGATTTTTAAAAATGTATTTCTATTTCCTCTTGGTTTTAATGGATCCTGTGTGGGGTTCATTGTCTGCTTGTTTGGTTGTAAGCTGCTTTGGGTTGCCCTGGGCAAGATAAAGTGATTAACAAATTTAATAAATGAGAATGATGATGAGAATGATGATGATGATCATCTGCAGTATGGCTCAGCTGAGAAACTAAGATTAGAAACAGTCTGAAATCTGAGTTTTAATGCAAGCACCTTACAGAAATCCATCTCAAAACTCTGAGCAGTATAATGCATTTCTTCAAAAGAGGAGCAAGGGTGCAATACAAAATCACTATGTTCTCCTTATGCTGTTTCATTATAGTGTTGTTGTTTTTTTAAAAAGAGACTGTCAGAATCACAACTTTTAATTACTTCATTTTATTGCTATTTATTGTGAAGGCATAAGCTGTTTCAGAGATGTGCAAATGTCTACCTTCATCCTGATAGAGCCTGAAATATGCCTTGTCACCTTCTATAGCCTCTGGGCATTCTTGCAGATCTTCCTGTTGCTTTGCTACAATTTGCTAGTGCTATGCTATGAAGGCAACAGTGACAAAGATACAGAAAGAGGTGGAGGAGCAATCATTTAATGTTTTTTGGTGTTTCTTTTGTTTGTAAATGTATCAATAGGTTTCTTCCCTGCTCACATTGTTACCTAAGGCTGTATTACCCAGGGTTGGGAACACGAGACTCTAAGTCCTATGACTGCCAGCCTGCATTGCCAATGGTTAAGGATGATGGGAGGTGGAGTCTAATAATGTCTGGAGGGCCACTGGTTCCCTACTGCTGCTACATATCTATGGTTAGATTTGAAATGGGGTAGTTTAAAGCTCTGCCCTACTGACTGATTACCTTGAATACATCTATTACCATAGTTATGCCTTACACAATTATGTGTGGGTGTCAGTAATCTGACACAATTCTTCTTTAAGTGCTATATTTTCTGAAAGGACAATGCACCTGAAGACCAAGGGTCTGAAATGAGTGCTTGGAAGGTTGCGTGTCAGAGCCAAACTAGATGTGCACTTACATATGTAAGTAACATAGCACAAAATGGAACCAATTCTCACTGTGAAGGCAATGCATATCTGGGAAGGGAAAACTTTCCCACATGATTCTAGTGAGGACTCCACTCTCCCCGGCACCAAAGTCTCTTAGTTGTGCATAGGGGAGGGGTGATGGCAATGTTTAACAGCATGCTAAGAGTTTCAAACTGCAATAAACTGGAATTGGGGGTGCAGCCTTCAGAGAGCTGCCAGAGTTGCTCTATGGATATTTTAAAAAATATAGATAGATAGCCTACCTTTTCCATTTAGGGATTCTCTTCCACAAAGTAAGGAAGGATAAGAATTCCCTGAGTTTCCTTAATGCAATGTAAGAATTCAGAGACAACCGTCATTCTCCTTTCCCTAATTTCCAGAGGGGTAGTTTTGCTAGGCTCTTGAAGCAAAACCAACAAAGAATCTCGTAACAACTTTTTTGGTTTTAAGGTGCCACAGAACCCTTTGTTCTTTTTTTTCTGTTTTATTCAAGATGTCACTGGATGTTCAGTCCTTAACTTCAAACATCCCAAATGCAAAGCAATGGTTCGCATGTCAAATCCACTAAGGACAACCATTTGACCTTGGCACAGTACATGTTGTCAGAAACATAACTGTCCAAATAAATGATTATTTATTTAGACAATGATGTTCCTGAGAACATGTACTGTGCCAAGGTCAATTGGCTGTCATTAGTGGGCTTGACATGTGAGCCAATGTTTTATGCTTTGAATGCTTGAAGTTAAGGACAGAAGAAAGGAGTAACACCCGTACTGGAGGCAAAGGAATTTGAGCCATGAGATTTCACCAGTGGTAAGGAAATAGGGGTGACAATATGTCCCACAACCATGAATATAAACCTGAGGGGCTCGCCCAAACTTCTGCTTGCTTCACCACTTTCCCCTGGCTAGAGCCGCTCTTTACCACTGAATCAGAGCAAATGTCAATCGGGTTTTCTGTGGGTTGACATTTGCTCCAACTGAGCGGTAAAGAGTGGGATTAACCAGGGAAAGCTGTGGGGGCAAACAGAAAACCAATTGGACTGGACCCTGGAAAACATCTCGAGCCTATGATTTCTAGGCCCAGGGCGAAGCAGAAGTGTGAACAAGCCCTTAGATAGCTTTTATAAATTCATGTTTTGGTGGGATTTGCCTCAGTGGGAGAATGCACAAGAGTAATACATCTCTAATTGTTCTAATTGATGGCATGGTCAAGGCCCCATCTAAGGCTGCAGCAATGATAGATTTATTTGGATGCCTTTGAAGCTTAAAGTGGTGGTGTGACTATTGTGTTTTCATTGACCCTGTGGCTTTGGTGTTGCATTTGCTTCTTTCATCCAGAGCTGGTGCTTTACCATTTTTAGCACCTTAGTCTTTCCAACTTTATCTGTAACCTTACAGCACTGTTGTCTCATCAGTGACAGACTAATAGGACTTCCCTGTTTTGCAAGGTCATCTTAGGCTTGCCACAGCTTGGTTGCTGAATAGGGCTTCTCTTTCATTAAAGGGCACGTCAGAATATTAGGCATATCCAACATTGCCAAAAGGGAGGTGAAGAACCAGGCTGGCTTCATCTAGGATGGTTTATGAGGCAGATGCTTTCTCACTGTTCTCCAACAAACACATCCAAAATACGTCATTTACCACAAACCTAGAGGCAGCTGCTATTAGATGTCCATTCTTGGTACAGAAACTGTTGATGCACAATGAAGTATTGAGGCAACTGCAGTGTTATAGAACTATGCGTATTCCTTTGTTCAGCTGGCTGCTTAAAATGTTGCTCAGGGCTTGTTTTATACTGCACAGCAGGGCTCCCAAAAGAAAGCATCAGCTCCTTGAGTTGTGCTTCTGCAAAGCACGAAAGCAATTATAACACAGTTTTAACATGCAATTAACCCTTACTCTCTGTGAGGCATCTGCCAAGCTTTTCAGGTAACTATAACTGCTCTTTTTAACACACTTTAGGGAGTTAAACTATAAATGTTTGTTTCTCTATGATGACAATACCCTGAATTAATTAGAATATTTCCTTTCTACCTTCTGCTGCTTCAGTCCAAACCACACGGACAGTATTAACATTTTCCAAGTGAAAGTAGCCCAGCAAATAACAAATTGCATCCTTTTCAGGTAATACAAGTCAAATTCTGTATAGTTCTTTGCTTAATGGGTTTATTCCTGAGAACAGAACCGTAAGTATTTGTTCCCATCTATCTAAAATAAATAAATAAGGCAAAAACACTTTCATAAGGTCACTGTGCTATTTGAAAAACAGCTAATTCAATCACACTGCCTGAGGTACAGCATTACCTCAGAATACATGTGGAGGATTAATTATTTGAAAGTGCCTTTTCCCCATCACAATAAAATAAATCTATGTACATGTGAAAAGCTAACATGAGAGCACAAAGGTGACTTTGGAAGCATATTTGAATTAAAATGTGAGTTAGATGATGATGTATTGAAATAGTAGATAGTGAAGGATACTGCCCAGGCTTTGAGTTGGAACCGCTTATTAATTTGCAACCACATGCTTACCAGTTGGCCAATGATTTGTATTGGTACAAGAGGTTTTTTAAAAACTTTTTATACCTGACTGGGAGTTTAGGGTTAACAGTGGAGTAACCAAGTTTGCTGATGATACCAAACTATCTAGGGGTGCAAGGAGCTCCAAAAAGATCTCTCCAAACATTTCCTATTTGAACTATGGAACTCACTACAATAAGATGCATGGAATACTGTCAATTTGGATGACATTAAAAGCCGATTAAACAAAATCATGGAGGAAAAGGCTATGAATGGCTGCTAATCATGATGCATACATTATTATTTGTGATCATTATTTATATCTGACCTCTCAGGATGCAACTCCTTCCAAGGTGGAGACAAGTAATATGAACACACCACACACACACACACACACACACACACACACACAGAGTGTAATAATAAGTAATCAGGATCCTGAAGGTAAAGATGAGCCAGCACTTGTGCTGATAATACTTTGTTAGACCTAACAAAATATGATGCCTGAATTAAGCTTAAATATAAATTAAATGTCATGGAATAAAAAGGTAGCAGCCCACCTTGGAAACCTCCCATCTAGCAATACTTCTGTACTTGTAGGCACGAAATATTGTTTCATTTCATGCAACTGCAGAAAGAATGCATACTGTGTGAGGACGAAAAATAGAAATAGAAACCTGAATCTTAATTATATTAAAGTCATTTGCTCATGAGGTATTATTATTAGTAAATTTAATTAATTCTCTCTCTCTCTCTCTCTCTCACACACACACACACACACACACACACACAACATAAACACAAACACACACATAGCACTGCTTGGTAATTGTGAAAACATCTTCCATTCTGCCTGAGGAGACAACTGCATGAAAGCACTATTCAGAATCACTATCTGAACAAGTTAAAAAAAATAACGAGGCAAACTCCCAAGAGATACTGCTGTATCTCTGAAGTAAAGATCAAAATCCTGAAGAGAAATTGTTCCGTGGCAGACAAAAAGTCATGAAATACATATCCATAAAGTCAGAGCTTTGCTAAGCAAATAACAAATAAAACAGGAAACTCTCTTTCCAAAAGTCTTAAATCATGCTGACAGTTACAATATGTGTGAAGCATCTGAAAAAATGAAGTGTCTGGGGTGGGGGGAGAGCTGTCTGCCTTCAAGACAAAAACGCAGTAGCTTGTATTTCCTTCAATATATTGATTCTATTTTACACAAAAATATACTCATGAAAAAATGATATTGCTCAGGTGAAAGAAGTGAACACAGCTGCCTTTCTTAATTTAAATGTAAATATATTATGGGTTCCAAATCTCAGAATCAGTGTTCCTACATAGGTTTTCATAGTGAACATGAATGTTATAGTCAGGTCTGGATTAGGACCTTTAGAGGCCCTAAACATTTAAAGATTTTTAGAGTGCCTTATATATCTAATTCAAAACAATAAACAATAAAAAACCATAAAATAAAATTTTATTTTGCGTAACGAAACGAAACTGACAGTAATATGGAAAAGAATGTTTATTTTTGTATACTTCCACTTTACATTTGGGGGAAAAAATTCTCCTCCTTTTTCTAATTGCAAAGCATTTGATAAGATCCTCAAAACTAATCTTAGGTGTTACGGTAAAATCTGGGTGCGGGGCTACTCTGCCACCCAGCTCGTCGGACTAGGTCCGCGGGTCCCTGCGGAAGAAAATGAGCTCAGCCGGAGACATGAGCAAACTGCAGAAGATCCAAGTTTATTGCGCAACAGGTTCAAGACGAGATTGAACAGCGAGAAAGGGGTGACATGAACTTTTGAAACTTCCCTCCATGTCCCGGAATACAGTGCAAAATACATCACAGTTACATCATGAATACATTAAGGAGAGGTTGGGTTACACAGATTACATCATGAATACATTAAGGAGAGGTTGGGTTACACCAACATATGGAGGAGGGGGGAATATGCAGAGCTGGAGATATGCGCAGATAAGCACTTCCTGAGTACCGGTGATGAGAAGTCAATGGTCCATGTATGCATATTCTGTCACCTGGCATTGCCCGGAGGAAAGGCTTGGCAGAGTGATTTGACAGGATTAGGGTCTTGACACCTTGGTTGAGGGATTATGGAGGACAGGGGAGGTGTCATGGAGTCCTAGAGAAATTGAGCAAATTGGCACGTTGATTTTCTATGAATTTTATAGATTTTAGTCCCTTTTGACATTGACAATTGGAAATAAATGGATATATTGTAGCAAAGAAGAAGGTGAAGAAGACATGCCCCCCTTCCGTATCATTAGGTAACACTCCTGCTTCTATACTTAATAGAGATAAGGCATTCAGCCTGCCTTGCTGCATAGTTCTGTAGGGATTTTTAATATACTTCAGCTGAGAAAATGAACATTCAGCTGAGCAATTTGTGACCATTAAAGTTAAAAATCCAAGCAATGGAAAATTTCTGTGGTGCTGCTCTTCCCTTGATGCCCAAGGCACATGCTTATTTTTCTTAATGGCTAATCCAGCCCTGGTTATAGTCCTATAAAATTCTAGAACAGGTTATCCTATTCTGCAATGTGGAGAAGGAAAGTACTATGGGGAACTGAATACTTACGCTGAGCAGTATAGCTGTATAATCTCAAAGATATTCCAGAAGTCCTTTGTAGAGATAAATAACACTTCACAGTATTTCAGCACAGGAGAATGCTCTGATTTTCTAGATTTGTTTTTAAAGTCAGACAGTGGCATAGCGTGGGGGGTGCAGGGGGGGCCAGCCGCACCGGGCGCAACATCTGGGGGGGGCGCTCGCACTCGCAGCTCTCTGCCCCTACCTGGCTCACTCACTCTCTCACTGCAGTGCTGGCTGTGCGAATCCGATCCGAGCCACTGGGTCGCCGCCCACTGTGGAGGGGGTGGGTGCCAGGCGTGTGGTGCGGAGAGAGAGCGAGGAACTATCTGGGGGAGGGACAGTGCAGCAGCCGCCCAGCGCAGCGCTGAGCGCGGGAGAGAACCACACCAGACCAGACCAGGCAGCAGCAAGAAGAAGCTGGCAGCGGAGGCAGGTTAGGGGTTAGGGGGCGCAAATTACTTGCCTTGCCCCGGGTGCTGACAACCCACGCTACGCCGCTGAAGTCAGATCCTTAAACAGGAGCCCCTTGAGCATGAAGGACACAGCATGTATTGCAAATAAGTGTCTAATAGGAAGATGTTT